GCCAGGGGCAGACAGTGGGGAAAAAAGCATCAATTGCTCACTTAAGGCTAAAGCTGAAGAAAATTAGAACAAGTCCGCAAGAACCAAAATTTGCCCTTCAATACATCCCATCTGAATTTAGAGATGATCTCAAGAACAGGTTTAATGAATTAGACACTAATGACTGAAGACCAGAAGAGTTGTGGGGTGACATCAAGACCATCATACAGGAAGAAAACAAAAGGTCTTTAAAAAGACAGGAAAGAAAGAAAAGATAAAAATGAATGTCAGACAAGACTGAAATTTACTAGTGAATGTGAAGAAGCTAAAGTGAAAGAAAGATACAAGAAAGTACAAGAGGTGAATCAAAATTTTCAAAGGGCATTTCAAGACAACAGTCATGAATTATAATGAAACGTGTGAAGACCTGGAGTTAGAAAACCATAAGGGAAGAGCATATTCAGAATTTCTCAAGCTGAACTGAAGAAAAAGTAAAAGCCTCAACTTGCAATATTGAAAGACTCCGTGGGCAAAATATTGAATGATGCACAAAGTATGAAAAGAAGATGGAAGACATACACAGTCACTGTACCAAAAAGAAATCATTTCTATTCATCCATTTCAAAAGGTAATATATGATCAAGAACCGATGGTACCAAAGGAAGAAGTGCAAGCTGCGCTGAAGACCTTGGTGAAAAATGATTCCAAGAAGTGAAAGAATACAAATGAAAATGTTACAACAAGCTGATGGAGCACTGGAGGTGCGCACTCATCTAACTGAAGAAATTTGGAAGACAGCTACCTGAACAACTCGTAGGAAGACATCTGTATTTGACCTCATTCCAAAGAAACATGATCCAACAGAATGTGGACTCCATCGAAACTATCATTTATATCACATGCAAGTAAAATTTTGCTGAAGATAATTTTAAAACAATTGTAGCAGTACATCTACAAGGAGCTGCCAGAAAACCAAACTGGATTCAGAGGCAGACATGTTGTTGTTAGGTGCCATCGAGTCGGTACCGACCCATAGCGACCTTATGCACAGCAGAACGAAACACTGCCCGATCCTGGGCCAACCTCACTACTGTTGCCATGCTTGAGTCCATCGATGCTGCCACTTGGCCAGTCCATCTCGTTGGGGGTCTTCCTCTTTTTCTCTGACCTTCCACCCTACGAAACATGACATCCTTCTCCAGTGACTGGTCTCTCATGACAATATGTCCGAAGTATGAGAGACGAAGTTTGGCCATCTTGGCCTCCAAGGAGCACTTTGGCTGCACTTCTTCCAAAACAGATCTATTGGTTCTTTTGGCAGCCCATGACACTTTCAATATTCTCCAACACCATAACTCAAAAGCATCAATTCTTCTATGGTCTTCCTTATTCACTGTCCAGCTTTTGCATGCATATGAGGTTACTGAAAATACCATGGCTTGGGTCAGGTGCACTTTAGTCCTCAAGCTGACATCTTTGCTCTTCAACGCATTAAAAATGTCTTGTGCTCAAGACTTACATTCTTTCGTGCTCTCTCGGTTCTTTTACTTGAGTAGTTGTATTATAGAGGACTGGCCAGGGTCTTTGCCCAGCGTTTGTAATCCCTGTGGTCTGAAATGTCAGAAGTCTTCAATGCAGGCCTTCTGATTTCACCCAACAATCTCTCACTTGATGGTCCCATTTATGTTTGTGCAGCATGATTGCTTATAGTTTTTTGGACCCCAACTATTGGAAAATTTCAGCGTGTTTTTTCTGTTGAAAAGATCTGCCTTTATAATTTTAATAATTCAGGGTTCCTCTGAGCTATTCACACCAATTTTTGTAACTTGGGAATATGTACATTATCTGATCCCTAGATGTTTGTAAGTTCATTTTTGTAGTATCGTGTGTGCCTGTTGCTTAAGACCCTGTTTGTTTTCATTGTTGTTTCTTAAGTCACGCATGCTACTTACGAGAAAGCCGTCTACTTTTCACAGCTTCCAGGAAGACCTAGTGTGGAATAGTCTTACACAAACCAATTTTATTTTTGTATTAGGACTCCAGATCAAACTTTTATAAAACCGTATGAAGCTTCATAAGTCTTTTAGCTTAGGGAGTGCATTAATACTGTATGCAAAACTTCTTGGAATATTTGAAGCGTAAGGTCTTTGAGGTTTACAGCTGTATTATTAGAGGCCTGATCTTATCCTGTAACTGCTGTTTTTTAATTTCCATGTAAGGAGGAAAGTAAGGTAGATTATAATAGTATACTTTGGGGGTGGGTACATCTTTATTGTATAGAACCTGTTCGGTTACTATAATTTGTAAATAAAACATTTTCTATTATTTTAAATTACAGCTGAATGAAATATATACCCACTTATCTTGAGGCAGGAGATGGGCAGGGAGGAAAGTTGCCATTGCGTTCGCCTTTAATGGGCCTTGAGGGGATGCTAGTTGTCTCCTTACCAGGCTGTCTCCAGGCACCTTCAGCTCAGATTCTAGCCTTACAACATGGGTCAGCCCCTGCTCCTTGGTACTCCATGGGCAGAGGTCCCGGGAGCAGTTGGTGTTGACAGTATACTGTTTAATTCCTTGTGAGGAGCTTCCGGATAGCTTTGCTCTACTCCTTGAATTTGTTAAGGTAGTTACTTTAAAAAAAAAAAAAAAAAAAAAAAATGCCCATAATATTGATGGCTACCTGATGCATCCTGGGAGATTCATTTCCGTTTTAATTGGGACCTCCTTGCAGAGACTGCCACTAGGATCATTGTCAGGGAGTTTATCTGAGAGTGTCTATTTTGTCATGCAGTAGATGTTTGCTGTGGTGTCTAGACTGTGGTACTCTCAGGAATCTGTAGCGTTTCTGGTTTGCTTACTTGTCCTTAGCCTTGAGTCCACCCCCGGGCAATGTCGGTGATCAGTGAGTGCATCTGTAATATCTTTCTCTTATTTGCTAGGCAGAAGATGGTGTTAGTGATTACGAGCTGCTGTCTGGCACCCTTGCAGAGCAGGAGTAAGTGAGTGCTGTTCAGCTCTCCAACCCTGTGAGTCCGATGCCTTTCCTCCATGTTTTGGCATCCCTGCCAAACACATGCATTGAAATCCTTCATGATCATCAGTGTGTCAGATGATTATATTGTTGCAAAGAGTCTGTCCAGGTCTTTTGTTCCTTTTGATTTATTTATTTTGTCATCTTAGTGTATGTCTATTGTGACTGGGACGTATAGGCACTGATGATGTTGAAAGAAGGCACAATGTATATCTCAAGGCAAGATTAGGTATTTTGGGTTCAGTGATTGATTACAAACTGCACAAAGGGAAAACTTTCCCAGAGCCACCTTGTCGGCAGCGAGTGCTGCTGCTGATGGGGTTGGCCCAATTTTGCAGGGCCGCATATGTTTTCTCAACAGTGTACTCATTTTTTCTTTTAGATTGCTTCATAGTGTGGTGTGTTGTTGCTGTCTACCACACTTACGATACAGGGTAGGAGGAAGTTTTCCATTTGCTTGCACAGTGCATTGCAGAAGTGTAAACCCTTGAAATGCACCAGATGAATGAGGTTTCATTGGTGAGAGGGGGATTCTCCAGAGCATCTGTTGTACCATCATCCTCTTTTCCACTGGGAGTGAGCACTCTGCACATGGCCAAGGGACAAGCAGAAAACTCTTGTCAAAAGAAGGCCCACCTGCTTGCGTAGAATGCTGGGATTGGGATTTCTACCCCTACCCACAACCACACTTCAGCTGTGTGTCCCGTGACCGCGAAGGGTGACGCGGAGCCGTGTAACCTGGTCTGTACGAGAATGGTTGTTACGTTTTAGGACTGAGACTTTGGTGCACATCTTCCTTAGCGGCAGGTTTCCATCCTGGCACCACCTGCCTTGTGTGTTATTGCTGAGTGAGGAGGAGCCCTTTACATTTTCTGTACTGTTGAAGACCTACACTTTTAGGTCCAGTGTCATGACTAGAAATGCATTGGGTACTAAAGAGCCCTGGAGAAAAGCAGTTTACTATTCCGGAGTTTTGTATGACTGCCTCTATGGCTGACCGGAGTAGTTACAGTTTTGTCCCTGGACTTGGTGAACATTTATATTCCACCCCCAACTGGATAGTCAGGCATTTTTTTCCCTTGGTAGAAAAGTACTTGTGCAGATTTCCACTCTACTCAAGAATACCACATCGAGGCTAGCTTTGCCTATGGAGGATTACCACGTTACAGTCCCAGGGCCTCCTCTCCTTCCATAGACACTGCCCATTTAGAGTTCCAGAATGAAAACATGTCAGAAGGATAGGAATGAGGAGTTAGAATCCTTAACTGCAAATACAGTGGGGACAAACTTAATCTTCCCACGTTCAGGTTTATGTACTGTTTTCTGATTTCGTAGTGGAATGTTGTCTTTGCTTGGCTGCTAGTCAAGCCTCTTCGGCTAGGGTGACTCCCATCTAACAATTCCCAGGTAAGGGGGATTGTAGAAGTAGACACAACACTTCCCCACTGAGTGCATCCTCTTATTCAGAGAAAAGCTCTAGAGCTCCAGTTTCTTATTTTGAGCCAAATTTAATTCCAGCATGTTTAGGTGTAAGAAAAATATTTGCTAGTGAAATAAACGTAAGCAACTCTATTTTAGGAAACTTAACTCTTAAGCATGAGCACTGAAACCTTTCAACCTCCATGTAGAAGCGTTATGGGTTTGGGATCAACAATTAGGATTTTGAGAGTTGTCATATATGTCAAATAAGCAAGTGATTGAGTTACAGATTTTTGTTTATATCAGGAAATAATTGTGGATACTACTATGACATAACTAATTGATTTTGCATTAGGGTGATCCTTCAATTGACATGAATCTTTCTCACAGTGAATTTATATAGTACCCAAAATGATGGGGCCTTCCTACCTTAGTCTCAATTCAGGGCCTCCATGGTATGTAATCATTGAGCTGTTGACTAATTTGTTGTTGAAGTTAAATATAAAACTTGGATTACTGGAATTTATTATTTGGGGGCATCGGCTCATCCTTGTTTTTGTTTATTAAACAGGAAAAGGACCAGCGCAGCCTAGACATAAACACTGCCAAGTGCATGTTGGGACTGTTATTAGGAAAAATCTGGCCCCTTTTTCCAGTTTTTCACCAATTCTTAGAGGTACCAAATTGTTATTTTATGAAATGTTATGTTTGCTTGCTTAGAACTACCAAATATATTGACTGAACTCTATCTTACCGTTTTCGCCCTGCACTTCCTGCCTGTAGGAGTTAATGGTGGCATGGTGGCCCATCAGCAGCAGCCTGGTTTTGAAGCGTGTCTGTCTACATGTTTAATGTTGTCTTGCATCAGTCCACGTTACAAATGCATCAGAAACAGCCCAGGCCGTGTCCATACCACCCTTTCTCATTCCCATTTCAAGAGCTTTTCTTTCATTGATATTTACTGCTCTTCAAAACAATAGATTTAATTTATTTTCCTGGCTTTAGATGGATTTCTAATTTTATTAAGCAAAGGTGAAAAGCCAAGAAAGACAGCCATCTGCCTTGTTACATTATCAACAAGGGTATTTTGAGTTTGTCATCTCCAAGTGACTTGGAGGCCTTAGAGTGATTTAAATATGAGCAAAATGGCAATATATCCTTCAGCTTAACTTTTCTTCAGATCTGTATTAGAAATAGTCCTGTACTTTATTCAATTATTGTTGGTTGGGTGTTTGCTTTAAACATTCATGATCAAAAATTTTGAGCTACTTGTTATTAGCAGCTGGTTTTGACGAGACATACAGGAAGTCTCTAGATGTAAGCTTCATATACTTGGATTGTCACATGTGGCCTCCTCGTTGTTCTCCTATCCCAACCCCCCCCCCCCTTTTTTTTTTTAATGTCCTTTGCTTGCACAGATGAGATTGTTGGGTCTTTGGAAAATCCTAGATCCTACCTTGACTCCACTTTCCCTCTAGAAATAGCCTTCTTACCATTTATGTTAAGTAATAGTGTAGAAAAACTCTCACCTGATACAATTCTTTGACAACAGTTGTTAGAATTTGCTTTGAACCTCACTAACCTGGAATATCTGAGCAAAGGTATGAAAAGTAGTTTTGATATACATATTTATTTACGTGACAGTCTGTCTCAAAATAAACTGTCCTAATATCACTGAAAACCCCCATGAAATAAGTTAGCTCTGCTTGAAAATAAATCAGAAGTACCTTCTTGTTTTCCAAGAATTTAGCAAGATATTGAGTGTGATTATATGTATTAGTATTCTTTAACGGAAAGGCCTTACCTCTGGACATTTGACTTCGCCCAATTCCTGGCATATCATCCGCTAGCTACTTCAATGACGAGGCTTTGCTTTTAATTGCTTAGAAAGTTAAACTTGTCCTCTGTGCTTTGTTCTTTTCTCTCTCTCTGTCTCTCTCTCTCTGATTACATAGATTAGTTTGCATTTTTCTTTTTAAAAAGCGAATAGTAACTCCAGTTTCTTAACTGCAGCTTTTCTTGTGTTTGCATCCAGAAAACCATTATCTCAACTCTCTTTGCATTTTTTTGTACTTGTATTCCTTTAGTATGTTCCTGATTTTAGTGACGAGTTTGAAAAATTGTTGGTTCTGAGTTTTATTTTTTAAATCTCTAGGCAGGGATGTTCTATTTTAAAATACATATAATTGCATTATTTCTTCTCTAAGAGGAATTGGAAAACTTCTTGAGGCAGTTCAGGTTTGAATTGTTGGAAACATCACTTTGTCCCATGGCAAGAACACCACTTAGTAATTTGTTGCCGAATGGCCCAGTGCAGCGCCCCTCTGAAGTTGACCGCTTGACCGTAAGCTGTGCCATCCCGTCAGGGATTAGTGAGTTAGCACTAACTTTGTGCCAGTCGCAGAATGAAGCGCTTTGCATAAATCCTTGCAACCTCTCTGTGAAGTAGGTATTGTCCCATTTTATATAACAGGCCTTTTGCAGTCAAACAAATTTACTTGTCGAGATAGAAAGTGGTGTTCCTTGGATATGCTTGCCATTTTTATTCTGAGTCCTCATAAAACTGTTGTGGTGAAACATGGTCATCTTAAATTCTGCTCTGCTCTCCCTCACCATCCTCACCTGGTGCTTACCACACGTCCAGTGCGAAGAGTTAACCTTACATGAACTTGGATAAGTTGATTCAGACAGCAGTTGAAACCCTCCCATGTGTTGAGTTCACATGTCAGTAATTCATGCTACTTTTTCCCTCCATCAGCAATCAAAATATAAAGTCATTAACAAAGACCAGTGGTGCAATGTGTTAGAGTTCAGCAGAACAATTAATCTTGACCTCAGCAACTACGACGAAGATGGAGCATGTAAGTCCTAACACTGGCCTTCCCTCCCTCCTCCTTCCACGCCCTCCTCCTCTCCCTCCTCCTTCTGGTCCTCCTCTTCCTCCTCCTTGTCAGGAGCGTCCTCACAGCCCCTGTCTTTTCTGTCTTCTCTTCAGGGCCGGTTTTGCTGGACGAGTTCGTGGAATGGTATAAAGACAAACAGATGTCATAGGACTTTATGCACGGCAGCGAGAGAGTCACTGTCACCACAGTTCTGTCAACCATTAGCCATAAATTGCTGTTCGTATCAAAGCGCATGCTGCTTTCCTCACACTGTCTCCCTCTTGTGGGGACGTTTTGGCGTCTGCTATTGAATGGGCCAGCTCTGCTTGCTGTGTGGCATTGTTCTCTTGGAAGGCTGCTTTGCAGTTTGTATTTACACTACAGATTGGTGAATCTGCCAACGTCCTCACTGTGATGATGTGTATATTGCTGTTTAAATTTTGTATATGTGTATAAAAAAAAAAAAAAAAAAGCTTCACACCTAGAGATTATTTCTGCAAAAATGTATTGTAAAAATAATTTTGTGGCATATTTCTAGTCCCTTTTTTCAAATGAACCTGTTATATTTTATTTGGTCTCAAATGTAGCATTTCAGAAAGCAAGACAAAACAGCTGTTACCATGCACGAACATTGCCAGAACTCATCTTTACTGTTTAAGAGGCCAATTTCGGGATGGAGGAGGGAGTTCCTAACTCTTCAGTAGCATATGCCAAATGTCATTTGGTTTACTTAACCAAAGGAGCATTTTAAAATTGGGGAAGTTATCATTTGAACACAGAGACATGTACCATGCTATGAATCGTTTCCACTGTACACCATGCAAGGTATTGGGTTTTTGTTTTGTTTTATAATGTTAAAACTATAGTAATTTGGATATAGGTACAAATGAAAAAATTAAAATTGCACTTTCTTTAAAAAAAAAAAAATGGGGTTTGAATTTTAAACTTTGTTTCACTGTTTTTGCCTTTGTCTTGTTTTTTTTTTTCCTTTCATATACTTCTGGTCAGTGATTGGTCTGCTGTGCTTGTCATTCTAAGTAAAACTGGTTTACCTTTTACTGGAATGAACTGCCTTCTCCATGAAAAACCTAGAGTTTTCTGGTAGTTTACAGTTGCAAAGCACTTTTAGTTATGGTTTGAATTTTGGGTGAAGCTTTCACGATGTCAAATTTTCTAGGTTTTGTTTCTTTGTTGTTGTTGTTTTTTAAGAACTATCTCATAAGTGAGAGGTTTTTGTTTATCCATTTGTTTCTCTTCGTGCTAGGCTTTTCCAGACAGAAAGTTCCTTACAGGCAGTGGCACAAAAACACCAGCATTGAGTGAAATCTGATTCCCGGTAGGGGGCGCCGTCATCGCCTGAGTAATTTGTGCAGTAAGGGGATAGCCATGATTTATGTGGAGGAGGAAATAGGAGTACGCAGGGCGGTATTTTTAGGTCTTGTTTGTTGGTTTGGTTTGGTTTTGCCTTCTCTTCCTTTATGAGATCTACAAGGTGACATGTTTTCCCCACAACTATCTGGTGCTATTGAATGACTCCTTCAGTCCCTCAAGTTCTGTGAAAACACAAAAGTCTAATGACTTAACCAAGGACAAAGCTAACTGATGCGTTTGTGCAGTTTAAACAAGTGAATGTTATGTTTATGAGCAAGACCCATGATTGAGCATGTAAGTGATTGGGCGAGGTTTGGATTAGTTAGAAATCTATCTGCCCAGCAGTCTTTTAGATGAAATATGAACCTTTATTTGGCATCCAGTGAGTAAGAACTACACAGACTATGCCACACTTGGCCACAGTTTCATGAAACTTGGCAAACAGTGTTCAGGTTTTCAGCCTTTCTCTTCCTTCCTTTCTTTCTTCCTAATGGAACCACCAAAGACAGAAGCTGTGTATATAGACAGAGTACGTGTGCACAAATGAAATCATGGCCTGGCAGAATGCAACTACTTCCTTCCTCATACCAAGTAGAAAGGTTTGGTTTGCTGCGCGATAAGCCAGAAATTTCTAATGCTCTGTAGTGACTATGCATACATTCCTTGTTTATAGACTCACCTTACAGATTAATATCAGTTTGTACAAATTACTATCTGAAAAGGATTCAAAATGTTTACAGCAAGCAACAGCTGTTGAAGACCGCCATGTTGAACGAGGTTCCGTGAATACGTGTGAATTCCAGTGGCCAACTGAATTCCATTTCAGTCATATCCTATAAAGGTAACAGATAACATATGAAAAGCAAAAGTTTTTAATTTGATAAATGGCAGTTTTGCTTAAAACAAATATAAGTCTGAGATAAAATTACTTAACAAGTGGTTGTCAGAATCTGGAGAATTTTCTGAATGCAAAGCACAGTTCATTTCAAAATAAAAATGTTGTTGCAAGGAGAGATGTTACATCACATACATAACACCTTGATGTGAGGCCACAGAACCCGAGTAAAAACTATTTTATGATGCATAAGTTGAAAGTAAATGAAAGGGATAATCTTGCATCCTGAGAAAACTCCAAATAATCTTTAAACACCCTTTAAAATGAAACCTCTGTGACTCCTAGGTTGTAGAATATTTGCCTTTGGTTTTGTTGATTTTGTGTAGTTATTCTTGAAGGGAGAAAGAGGGGATCAAACAGGATAATAGGATACTTTTTCTTTAAATGTCTCTGAGTTATACAAACTTGAGCACTGACTCACCAGTTAACGTTAAATAAATTGGGATGCCTTTGGTTGCGTTTTCTTTAATAATCTAGCTGTCTACCCCCATTTTCTCCCTTTGCTTTGTGTTTTGAGCTCCACGCTATAATACTCTAACATAACAGGATACAACTCATAAATGTTTACTGCTGCGGTAGGTCAGAAATCTCATGATTTGATTCGCCACAAACTACACACTGTAATGTTGCGTGTATCATTTTTGAAGTATGAACTCTGAAGGTTTTATAAATCTGATTAGATAGACCTGTAGATTCTGGTTCAAGAACAAATTTCTGTTGCCTCTCAGTCTCCATTTTAACAGTACTTTTGAAGTTTATACTGAAAGCTTTAAAAGTTAGTTTGTTCCCTTGGTTTTAATTCCTACAACTGCTGAGATACCTCTGTAAGCCTTACCCTTTATCCTTTTCATATGTTGTATAATAAATGTATAGACTTCATTGACCAACTTGAAATGTTGGGTGTCTGTAAATGAGACCAAAATGTGGGTTGCTTTTTTATCATACAATAATTTCTTATTGAGGGTTACTGTCACATGAACAGCAACTAACCTGTAACTGTGAATGCTTTGTGTCGTCAGTATTTGCATTACATTCATAAAAGTGTGCAAGTCCTATGACTCCCAGCTTAAACACTCTTATACCACCGACGTTGAGTACAGCAAACTGGTTTTAGGTTTTAATGGAATTGATGTAAAATGATATCCCACAAATAAAAAAGTATTTGTGTTTGGTTTCAGAATTGATTTGTGAATTCTCTTTTGCCTCAAAACCATTCAGGATTATTAGTCTTTATAGCATCCCCTCCTTTTTTTTTTTTTTTTTTTTTTAAATTTCCCACACTGTGTTTATTGCAAAATGTCAAGGCTACAGAAAAGATAAAAATCAAGAATAATATAATGAACACCCAAATACCTGTCATCTAGATTTGTGTTTAGTTAACACTTTGCCATGTTTCTTCCCCCACCAAGTGTGTGTGTGTGTGTGTGTGTATTCTTCGATCTACAAACAGACATTTAATTTTTTTCTGAAAAACTTCAGAGTAAATCACAACATCCTAACACTTTACACCCACTATTTCAGAAGATGAATATTCCCCAATAGCCATGACATAATGATCAAACTGAAAAAATATAACACTGATACAGGACTGTTACCTAGCAACCGTAGGGGGTGGGGAAGCTAGGGGCCATGCCATAAAGTCAGTCCCAACTCCTCTTGACGCATGCGCTGCAGAGCAGAGCTACGCTACGCTATGCTGTGGTCTTTCAGGAGCAGATTGCCTCCTGTGCTTTATTCGGAGGCACTTCTGGATGGGTTTTCGGTAACATTTGATGGATTGCAGCTCCCAGGGTGCCTCCAGTCAAAATTCAAATCCCCTGATTTGTACCAATAATATCCTTTAGAGCTATTATGTACTTTTAATCCAGATACAAGCATTTAGTTGCGATGTCTTTTTGTTCTTTTTAAATCTAGAACAGTACCTTTTTAATGTTTTTATTATGAATTGAGTGATAGTTTACATAGGAGAACATAGGTTTTACACACATCATTCCACTGCAATGATTACAATCTCTCTGCATCATCATTCAACAGTATTTGCTTCTATTTCCTCGGGTTTTTTTTTTTTGGTTTTTTTTTTTTTGGGGGGGAGGTATACAAAAACCCTCAGGAATATATATAATCATTTTAACAACCAAAGGGCACATTCTGCAAGCCGCCTCCTGGCCGCCAGCACACAGCCTTTCTCTTCCCGTGAGTCTAGAGTCCTCAGCTGCACTATCTCCATGTCCTCATCTCTGCCTCGATCTCTGCGTCGCTGCTTCTTTGAATAGGGTCCCACATTCTGCTCTGATACACAGTATTTTAACTGTTTTGATTAAAAACAATAGCAACACTGCTCAAATGGTCCTCGTTTAAAATACTCATTAGCATATTTCTAAATACTGAGCTAATAGCTGAATATTTAGTATATGCCAGGAGCAAGGCAGAAATGATCATTTTTACTACCCCCTAGACATCCACTCAGTTCTGCTATAACTGTGTATCAACCCAATTACCATTCTCTGAATTAATCTGAAACTAGAATGTTGGCTTTGAGGGCAGGATGGGTGCTCAGTGAGTATATGTTGAAAAAAGCAAAGAACAAAGTCCCCACTGTGTGGGGGAAATTGTCAAGACGTAAGAAACATGCAAAGATTAGAGAATCCAGGAAGAACAGATTTTTGAGATTTGGGGGCAAGATTGAAAGCAAGAGAGAGGAGGTAGAAAACAAGATGCCAAAAAGAAAATCCAGAATTCTGGGGCACGTTGTTTAACTTGGTCTTGTAAATAATTCTTTTGACTGTAACTTGCGCCAAAAGTTTAGACTCAAACCAAGAAAATGTCTGTTCTGATTAATACTCAGAGAGGAGGTGGTGGTGGTTGTTATGTGCCATCGAGTCGGTTCCGACCCATAGCGACCCTGTATAGGGTTTCCGAGGGTGTAAATCTTTAC